GGCGATAGTCGTCACATTCCAATGCGCTCTTCTAATGGAAATACGTAGGAGTTTTGACCTGGGTACAACATGCACTAAATACTTTGTCGATACATTACAATCACAAACAAAATTACACAGTTAAAGCTTAGCAATGTCTCGGTCTTTGTTCATATGAGGTATACCATGTGACACTGCCAATTCCGTGGAATAAAGCTTGCTCCAGTGGTGGCTTAAAATAAGTCAAAACATTGTGTTACCATGGAAACATCACGAACTTGGAACAGTCTCACAGGTTGTCAGCAGACATTGCAATTGTCTGAAACTCGATTCAGTCATTCAGAATAAACAGGAAGGCGTAGCAGACAAAATAAATGAAAAAATAATAATCTGTACTAAATAAAATTGTATTAACATTTCGCAATAATATGAGAATTGAAATAAACGGATAATTTGCATACCTAATTTTATCAAACAGTATTTCATGAGCAATATTTCATTAATTAATATTGTAATATTTATTATTGTAGGTATTGGTCGTGCCATTGCTAAAATGTTAGTGACATGTGGAGCTAAGGTGTATGCACTAAGTAGAACACAGTCTGATTTGGACAGTCTAAAAGAGGAGGTAAGATCGCTACATTCTCATTTCACTTAGTGACACATTTTTGCACATTTATTTTGAATGCGTGTGTCGTATGGTCAATTAAACTATTTCGTTCTATATAGGTACCAGGAATAAGTACTTTAACAGTAGACCTTGTAGACTGGGATGCCACGACTAAAGCTGTTGAATCAATTGGTCCGGTTGATCTATTGGTAAATAATGCTGGCTTTGGCATTGTTCGAGCATTCATAGATGTAACACAAGAAGAATTTGATGAGTATGTTAGGTTATCTAGATATAGCCTACCCTAAAAAGTCCCGATTCTTGTCATGATCGTGTGATCATATATTTAAAAGAAATATCAAACTTGTATGCACAATGTTGATGCAGTACACTGTGTTTCCTTACAGGACACTGAACATAAATTTGAAAGCAGCTATGCACGTGGGACAGGTGAGGATGTTGATTTAATGTACGCGATTGTCGAATGCTTAGTTAAATAATTACCAAATAATTTAAATTAATAGAAAACTATTTTAACAGTTGCTTTTTTTTGGAGGCATATCCATGTTATTTATTATGTTAATGTATTGAAATCTACCGTTTTTTTTTCAAGAGTCAGTGAATACTATATATTTTATTTTACAGATTGTGGCTCGTAGTATGATATCAAAAGGAACTGGTGGAAGCATAGTCAACATATCAAGCCAAGCTTCGTTGATGGCTCTCACAGGTCATGCAGCTTACAGTGAGCATATTTCTCTTTATTATTTATTAACAATATTTTATGGGGATAGTAAAATGTAAATGTATATTTGGACAATATATCTCACAGTGACAATTTAAAACAGTCATCAAGTGACTCTTTCAGAATATCCTGAAACTGTAATATGGATTATTTCAAAGTATGACGTTATGCCCCTACCCATGTTAATTTTGTGACAAATGTATTTGTTATTTACAATCAGAAATACATCGCTATGCAGATTGCTTTGATATTTGGTTTCCACCAAATCTTTGATGCGCCTTTGACGTTTTCTATTCCTGGTCATTCAATTTTGTGATTATTTGTGTAAAGATATTTTCAATTTCTTCATCATATCTGAGCTCAAATATCATAGCATAAGAAACAAATGGTGCTTATTTCAAAGTTTATCGTTTACATGTGTTTTGCTTACGTTCGTCTTACGGAAATTTTTGACTCTGTCTGCGCATGTAAAAATCTCACAAGATTACATCATACTTTTATTATAAGGTTAATGGTAATGGCACAACAACAACAAACCCCAAATAACGAACAAACAAATGACCGATACACTACAGAATATTATAAAGTATATAGATGTATATCCGCGCTATCCGTGTTAAAGGGCAGTGGTCGTCCTACTACGCATGCGCGAGGTATGGCCTTCATATGAGCAAAGCTGGCGACTTTGACTGTTGCGCAGACCAACTAGTACAAACTGGTTTTAACTAGTTAATTTCTTTGGTAATTGGCATGTATCCAAGTAGTCACAGGCGGTTAGTGCACATCGCGCCAAGGTTGAATCTCATACTTGTGATTGCCATTAGAAGAGTGCACTTAACTGTGGGGAAATCAATCTTTATTAACACGTTCGAGGCGCGAACCTAGTCTTGTCAGCCCTATGTACTTTTGCATTGACTTAGCAACATAAGGGTTAATCAAATTCAATGTAATAATGGAATTCTTTTACATTTAAGGTACTACGTTTCCCACTAATGGCGACTAATTGCTCTTACTTTATAGGTGCTTCAAAAGCTGGACTCGATATGCTCACAAAGACAATGGCACTAGAACTGGCAACCCATAAAGTAAAGAATGATTTACTTACTTCTCACCAGAAAAAAACATAGTATTCACTTAGATTTCATTTTCTAATAACGCTAATCCGCGGGTGATCTCAAACGTCATCAAGTTTATTATTTAGTGTAACCTCTTGTTTCTAACTTATTATGATATTTGGTGGGTGCCATGTGTGGAAGAATACGTTCATATATATGCCACAAGATAGATGTATCTTTCCATACTTATTTGACTATGGTGTACTGATTCGGTTGCTTTGTTCTTGTGGATTGTTCGTCAGTCCTTTGTTTTAATTCTTGTCCTGATCATGACGATGTTATTATTACTTTACTAGTTTGATGTTTCCTCAAACCAAATTCTTAAAATTTCATGCTTCATACATTCATGTTTACAGTTGATATTGTGTAGCCGCTGTGAGTGTGCTTTGAGTTGAGATGTGTTACATAACATACGCCATAAATGGTTTTAACATTTTAGCATCTATCATAATCTTTAAATAGGTGATTTTCCGTACAATTGCGAGATCTCGCGAGATGCATGAAAGACGCGCGTCGAACGTCTGCCGCAAAAATCGAACGATTTGATTTTGAACTAGAATTTCTTTATTTCGTAGCTTACATTGACCGGCCGATCTTCGACAGAGGAATATTGCTTCCGAATACCCTTACTTAATCGAAATTGCCTATCATCAAATGTGGACAGCACATTATTAAGCATGGAAATGTCCCCGAAATACTTTCGTGTTTGTGGAATCCCACGCGATGTTTGACGCCACTACGACGCTATGACCTTTGTTTGTCCTGTTTTTACGTTCGATTTCACGCATAACGCGTGATTCTCGCAGTGAATGGAAAATGGTCTATTAAAAATGATTAAGATTTTTTTACTTCTCAGATCCGAGTCAATTCAGTGAATCCAACTGTTGTACTAACAGAATTAGGTAAACGTGCCTGGGCGGATCCTGTTAGATCAGAAAGTATGACAAGTCGTATTCCAATGAACAAGTTTGCAGGTATTTGTGATAAGAATGTAATGCTATCTAAATAAGATAAATTATTCATTTAAAAAAAAATATTTGCACACAGATTCATTGCATACATTAGTATGACGCATTGTACAATAACTGAATAATTTCCGTTTTGTCAACAGAGGTGAAAGATGTTGTCAACGCTGTTATTTATCTTTTGAGTGACAAGGCTGACATGATTACTGGGAGTTGTTTACCGATTGACGGTGGATTCGTGGTGGCAGGAGTTTGAACATGATTATGCTTGTTATTATGTATATAAATCATAGAATAAAAGAAATACATGTTAAATAGTTGCCGATGTACCATACTCAGTCTGATGAAAGAAAGTAGTGCATTTATCACAATCACAGCAGAGAATGATTTTTACATAGAGTAAACAATGAATACCACAATTTGAAAAAAAAAAACTTCCTATAACTTACAATATAAAGGAATACCAATGCATATAGATGCCAGGGCTGTGAATTCACAATGTTAATCAACTACTGTTATACTATGAATCTCATCGATGACTAAGGTTATAAACTGGTAAAGAGAATACAGATAAAACATTTCTTAAGGGTTAAAATACAAACATTTGTGTGGGATAGTGTGAGTGTGGAATAGTGTGAGTGTGGGATAAACCTATTTTTAAATCAGTAACCAAATGTGTAAATTATTGGTTACACGTAACTGAACTGAAAAATAGTGTGTAAAACCTATAGACAATCACAATTTACCACGGACAACAGCAATTAAGAGTATTCTGTTTTGGTGCCGTTTGGTTAGCTCAGGGACTGGGTGATGCAAAATTGTTCATATTGATGTTCAGAATATAGGCAAGTTAAAGAATGATATCCGATTCAACAGCAGTGCATTAGGGATAAAGGCCTCACGGTGTGTATATTATTGTCACTTGAGCTTGTAATCGTGAAGGACAATAATGCAATTGTTTAAAGAAATACATTCAATGTGATAAATAAAGCATACTCTTTATACGGATAACATGTTTTTTTTAGCTGGTCATCTGGTAGGTAATGGCCATGCTTATTCAGTAGTAATTACCTCAACGATACATTACCAATAAACTGTTACACAATTGTTACTAAATATGAGGCCATTACTAGATCCTCGGCATCTAATTTCCATGAGAATCTAGCATTATATGTTGCCAATAATGAGTTACACTATTTCACCAATTAATAATACAAGTGAGTTATCTGATAAATCAATGTTGATTAATTTCTTTATCTTAATCCGTTACGCCTGTTTTATACATCATTTTTTTGATTGATTTTGTGATTATTCTAAGGATATGAATTATGTGTTACGATCTGGTATCGAGAAAGTTAAATAGTTTCTACTGCTCCGACTATTAATGATTTCAATTGCGTTCTGTCACAGTTGAAATGAATACGTTATTTCGTCAATTCCGTACATGTGTGTGGACAATTGATAACTAGCTAATTATACAAATTTCGATTTTTTTTTTCAATAACAAAAACAAGTCTGGTGCCACGTGTGGCAATTCGTCGTCAATTTTAAAGTACTCGTGCTTCTGCAATATAGCTATAAATGCTAAATGTTCAGACAATTCTCAGTACCTTGAATACAGCTTGCCTGTTCGATTCGACACTAACCACGTGACTTTCGAACTTCCAAGGCAATTGCAATGAACCGTCTGTTCAGCCATCATAGAAGTAGTGTCATATCGGCCCTTCAGTGTGTTGTGTATTTTCATACAAATGCAGTTATCGACGTCTTGTTGGTGTTAAATTTGTCATCTCTCTCTGAACTCATGTTGTCCATTTTTAAGCATCAACTAATCAAAATGTATGGAATATTGGTTTACCAATATATTAAACCTCAAAACATACCAGTCATGTTAAGAATACAATTTGTTCACTTAGAATCTGCAACAGGAACTATTTCCCATATAAACTACTAGTTTTTCTGGGAAAATTTGTTTTCTATTCAGCATTCTATTTTTTTCTGTGTCAGTTCAACTATTGGACCAAGTTCAGAACATTCCTTGTTATTTTTCTGGCAACTTAAAATCCGTTAACTTAATATCCGACTTTTAGTATGCCTTAATGCCATGGTGAGCCTATTTTTATTATTTTTTAGCGACATAACTGTATAAAATCCATCTTAGTTATAATAAGATTAACATTTGCACTAAGTCAAATATTTCAATACATTTTAGACAACCCTTAACACGTTTATACACGGATAGACAACATTAAATGTTGAAGGCAAATATTGAGATGGTTTGCACATGAACACGCCATGTATTCACTGGTTACTAAGACTGATTAAACACATAATACTGGTTTGATTGTCAAGTTATTCACTTATGAGTGTAAGCACAAGTGATGAGAATCATTCACTCAGTGCAAATTTTACAGATTCTTTAAACATTCTATAGATTCTATAAAATAGAGTGTACAACACATTTTAGCTACAATAAAATCCATTTTATTCATTCTAAAAAACAGTGTAGTACTGAAATACAAATCGATACCTTTACCAGCTCTAGTAACCAGTGCACTCTTCCAGTCAAATCGAAATTCCATGTTTATAATTATATTATCCTACTTCAACTGAAAAACCAGTTTACAGCATATGTGTACTGTGCTTAGGGGCGTGGGTGATTGACACATAAAAATGCTCATTCTAAAATCATGGAAATGAATGACAGTTGTTCACATCCAATCACCCTCCAGTTAATATTGAATTAACTATGCTAAGTTTAAATAAGCGATTATTATGAATATCTTATTATTTCAGGTAAATTATGAGTGAAAAATATGGGAAACCTGAAAATAAGACAATCAAACGAATAGGAAACGGTAGTATTGTAGTCACACATGGCCTATTGCCTATTATTTTTGTTTGCCCAGCACACACGATATGGAATTATGGCATGTGCTATTATTTTAAGAAATATTTTAAGAACCAACTGCCCAATTTGAAAGCTGTTTTCAAAATACTTTTCTGCACGAAATTAACCGTTTTAGTTATGCATGAACAAAAATTGTATAATAAATATAATGATACGAATGTCCATTGTATTATAGACTTGAATTCTACATTCCAATACATTTCGTTTGGTATATCACGCAATGTGCCTTGTGTTTTATATCCTTCTACTTTTCTTTTTATAGCTTACTAACACATGTTTCAGATAAATACCTTATGTTTACATTTTGGGGGGGGGGGAGATTTCTAATATTTTCATAAATTAACTTTCCTAATGACTTCCGAGTCATAAAGAAATGGCTGTTGTTCAAAACCTGAGGTTTACATCAAACAAGTAACATTGATGTCATCTGAGCTCACTGCATGGCAGTCTTATTGTATTTAACCACAACCACAATTGTATCTGTCAAAAAAACCGTGAATGATAAAGCTAGTCGATTTCTACAAAAGCCTTGGTTCGAAATGTCAGCATACTATGGGGTTATTA